AAGACTTCCCCTGAGTATCCAGTGCTCCAGCAGAGCTGCTGAGGTCCTGTCTCTTTCGTAGCGATTTGAAACCATAGTGGAAACAAGTATAATTTTGGTGTAAAACCGATCCGTGTAAGTTTTTAGGGACGGAGGTAGTACTCTATAGCACTTTCTCTGCGCAAGGTGCTCGTGTGCCCCGCCACACTAGCCCACGACCTGCTATTGAGTCGTTATTGACACTCGGTCGCGTAAGGAGCATGGGTATATCCGCGCAACCGATGTCTGGGCTCTTGGTTTTACGCTTGCTCTTACAGCACGGGGTAGCCAAGTAACGTGGCGGGCCGTGGCCAGCTATGGTTTCTCTCTTGACGCTTAACGCGGGTCTCGAGATCTGCGCAATCGGTCTTGGGATGTCTCGCTCTTAGATCACAGGGGGGGGGGGGGTCAGTAGCGTGGCCGAGACAACGTCGACTCAGACGGTGAATTTTTATGTCATAAATGCAAAAGGGTGTGAGAGGTCCGCAAACTCGACATCACGGTAGCGAAAGGTGTCCCGGAGTGGGGAAGAGTGGCAACCGCGGCTATTGAGAAAAGAAAAGTGAGAATCAGCGCGAGTAACTGATTGGGATTGGCGTGAATGGAGTTAGCAACTTTATTCGTATTCTCTAACTCCGGGTAGACTATTGTATAGTATAAGGTACAAAAATGAAAAACACAGCATTAACTGAAAATATTTAATAACTGCCTTAGTGATGTTTGGCTTCGGAGTACATATTACTGCTTGGTGTAATTGTCGGGAAAACAATAGTGGGGATCTCCGGTATTTCGACTCCCTGTGGGTTGATGGGGATGGCGGGTATGAAGATTATAATAATACAAACTAACCATAATATGCACTCGACAAATAAAACCAACGTTACTGCGTCGATTTACATTAGGCGCGGTAGATAGTCACACAGTACACTAATAACTGCCGGCGTGGTGTCGACAATATATTATTGCTCTTTTCTCGCCAGTCCGCACTGCTTTTGTTCACAGGCCTCGGTTATTGGGCGCTTCCTTAAAATACAAATTCTTAATTTTTCTACAGCACGCCTGTCATAAACGAGACTGAACAGGTAGCAAAACCTATCATTTGCCCGTAGATGACTGACCGACGATCAAAATCTTTCCTCGAAGCAAATAAGACGACTAGAGAGGTCATCCCTCCTCTCTAAACGACTGGCCTAGAGCTGATAGACGACTCTCAATTATATACGACAGTCTCACACTTCGCCACAACCTCCCCATTACCCACCTTTGTTGTGATAAACCGGGACTTGTTAGGAAACAGGTAAGTTTATTAATGAGCTAGACTAAAAAGCAATTGAACGTAAGCTGACACTTCACCTATAGTCTTCTCAGTGTCCCCCTTACGAGTTCAAATCCATACAGCAGCGGACGCGTGCCAGCATCCACCGGGGGCTAGCACCACGTGCTGTGAACCTGCCAGTCCCGGACTCATCAGGTTGCACAGCTTAACCTTGATCTTAGCCTTAATCGGGGCGACGTTGACTTGGATGCCTTTGTGCCTGACCATGTTCTGCAACCTCTTGTTGTCAGTGACCTCTTTCTGCATTTTCGAGAGTGGATGGTGAAGGCGTGCGAGGTGTTCACCGGCACGATTCACATCAACTTCGAGTTGGTGGTCAGCATCCGGTCGACCAACAATAGCATCCAGCGGCGTCGACGACGGCAAACCAGTGAATGGCTCAACTGGGGAGTGATTGCAGCGAAGTATGGTTCAAATTGGCTTGTAGCGGAGATAGCAAATAGGGCCATTCATGAAATCCATCCAGTACTCCATCAAAAGTGCACGAAGTACTTGCAGAATGTCCCTGTTGAGCCGTTCTACAGTGTCATTTAGCCACGGCATGTACACCGGTGAAACTACCTGCTCCACCTTCATCCGAGCGCACAAATGTTTCACCATTTCGTTCCGAAAGGGGCTTCCTTGGTCAGAAAACAGCGACTCTGGAATCCCAAATCTCGCGCACCACATCGCGAGTGACTCCGCCGCTACAATCGACGTTGGCATCAAACAAGGAACCAACTCGCAGGTGTGCCAATTCATCGTTAATCACAAGAAGATAAGCAGTATCTCCAAATCCAGGTCCACAGTAGAGAAAATCCCAGTGTACGGACTCGTTGCGCTTCGTAGTCGTCAGCAGTGGTCCGTAAGGTAGAGGCAAAAGGCGTGGCCCTTTCACATGCTTGCACGGCAAGCATTCTTGCACAAACTTCACAACTTTTTCAGAGAGCTGCGAGATGTAGAATAGTCGCTTGATGGTCGCAATCATTGGTTCCTGTCCGCGGTGACCTTGGCTGCCACAGTGTGCCACGACGAAAATCCTAGCGAGGAGATATTTAGTGGCGTTGGGAACCCCCAGACACCCTGCAATCATCGCCACCCACCTTCCTCTTCAAAATCAACTCGCAGATTCGAGCGTTCACGTCGAGCCAGGTATTGAGCGACTCGGACGTGACCAGTGTAGGAAAAACGAAATTTTCATCGGCAAATGGACGGAGTCTGGAGAGTGACTCCACGGGTGCAACGAAATACCGGCGAGTCTGTACAGCCGCCATGGAAATCCCCCCCCCCCTGTTCTGCGTGCACCATCGCGAGACAATATCCGCTCAGAGATTCACTTCACCAGAAATGTGTTCAATTTGGTAGGGCAAGCCACAAAGTTGCATCGTCCAGCGCTACAAGCGGTCACGCACATGGTTTTTAGCTCTGCGTGGGGCGCGAAAATGTAGACAATGCTCGCATGATTACAGAATAACCGAAACCCTCGCGGCCGAATAAGCAGGTATTCCAGGTCAGTACACGCTTTAGTGATAAGAAAAGCCTCACGCTCTACCACGGTCCAGTTAAGCTGTGAATCCTTGAACACACCACCCTTGCAAATTATCAGTTCGTGGTTTTGTTTGTCCACCGAGACACCAGGATTCCAGTTCTTCACCTGTGTCACTACAATACTGTATCCGACAAGCGAGACATCGGTGGAAATGCACAAGTCTGCGTCGGGATCGGGGTGCATCATCATTGCAGAGTCCTTAATCATCAAAATTACTGCATCGTACGCAGCACGCTCAATCGGATCCCAATGCGTGGCCACCATAAGTGCGTGTTTGCTGCGCTTGCCAACTCGTTCTTCTCAGTTTCTAGCTTGGCATGAAGAGGAATAACAACACGCGCGTAGTCGGGCAGCGACGCATGAAGCCAATTACTTGCAATGAGAAATCGCTGTAAATCTGCCACAGTTTCCGGAACAGGGAACCTACTCAACGCACCCACGCGGCTCGGGTCGTGAAGCACTCCCTTGCTCGAGAAAAGTCGGCCACACCACAGGACCTCAAGCTCAAACAGCAAACTCTTCGACATGTTCAGCTTCAAGTTAGCATCCCTGACGAGTTTGAAAAATTCGTGGAGCACCAAGACGAAGTCGCTTGAAGTCGGGAACAGCATGACATCTTCCACCCATACCAGTGCTGATTGGGGTATGAGTGGCACAAGAACAGTCTGCATCAGGGCTTGAAAATGCAGCGCGCTATCCGTAGCTCCTTGCGGGACCAGTTTTGGTGTAAAGCCACCATCCGGTGTAACAAACGAAAAAAAAATCCTGGCAGTCTCGGTGCAAGGGCAATTGCCAAAAACCTTGTGTTAGATCAAACCGTCCTAATGCCTTTATACCAGATAGCGATTCCACGAGCTGTGCAGGAGTCGGCATGACCCCAGCGATCGGGATCGTGACACGGGGTTCACAGGCCGATAGTCAATAGTGAGACAAAGCCGAATCACATTCTTAAAT